CAATCAGAACGATTAATTCTGTCATATCATAGAAAAAATGATCGGTCTATCATATCTTTATGTCTATTTATCACCTATCCAATTATCTATCCAACCAATTATCTATAAATATCTATCTATCTATCTATCTATCTATCTATCTATCTATCTATCTATCATCCAATTATCTATCCAACCAATTATCTATCTATCTATCTATCTATCTATCATTCAATTATCTATCTATCCAATTATCTATCGATCCAATTATCTATTCGTCCAATTATCTATTCGTCCAATTATCTATCTATCTATCTATCTATCTATCTACAATCCAATTATCTATTAGTCCAGTTATCTATCGATCTATTAATCTACAATCCAATTATCTATCCATCCAATTATCTATTAGTCCACTTATCTATCTATCTTTATCCTATCGATCTATCTTTATCCTATCTATCTATCTATCTATCTATCTATCTATCTATCATCCAATTATCTATTTGTTTGTCTATCTATCTATCTTTATTCTATCTATCTATCTATCTATCTATCTATTTTAACGATTAATTCTGTCATATCATAGAAAAAATGATCGGTCTATCATATCTTTATGTCTATTTATCACCTATCCAATTATCTATCCAACCAATTATCTATAAATATCTATCTATCTATCTATCTATCTATCTATCTATCTATCTATCTATCTATCATCCAATTATCTATCCAACCAATTATCTATCTATCTATCTATCTATCTATCATCCAATTATCTATCGATCCAATTATCTATCGATCCAATTATCTATTCGTCCAATTATCTATTCGTCCAATTATCTATCTATCTATCTATCTATCTATCTACAATCCAATTATCTATTAGTCCAGTTATCTATCGATCTATTAATCTACAATCCAATTATCTATCCATCCAATTATCTATTAGTCCACTTATCTATCTATCTTTATCCTATCGATCTATCTTTATCCTATCTATCTATCTATCTATCTATCTATCTATCTATCTATCATCCAATTATCTATTTGTCCAATTATCTATCTATCTTTATTCTATCTATCTATCTATCTATCTATCTATCTATCTATCTATCGTTATCCTATTGATCTATCTATCTATCTATCTATCTATCTATCTATCTATCTATCTATCCGTCTCTTTATCTATCATACATTCTTATATATCTGTAGATATTTATATACTTCTATATTATATACTTCTGCAGCAAATTCCTGTTTTTAAGGCTCCACCATAAGACTTCAGCCTTTTCTTATCTGTACAGAGAACACGCCGCCATGCCTCTCGCCCCCAACAGCTAATATTATTCTTTGTGCCTTTAAGTCTAAAGTTTGTATTTTTACCCTCGATTAGAGCGCAGTTGT